GTTATGATAACTCACAGAGAAAAAAATGTGACAATGAGTGTGTAAATGTCCATGAATGACTGAAAATTGTGCTGAACACTGGAATTCGACACAACATTGTAAAATGATTATAAATTAATAAAAAATGTTAAAAAAACAAAAAAAACCCCAAACATAAAGTTGATTAGTGGTTGCCAAAGGCTGGAGGGAGGAAGGAAGGGGAAGTGACTGCTAATGGGTACCAGGTTTCTTTTCAGGGTGATGAAAATGTTCTGAAATTAGATAGTGGTAATGAGTGTACAACCTTTTGAGTACACTAAAAACCACTGAATAGCCTTAAAATATGACTGTTAGGGTATGTAAATTATATCTCAATTAAAAATTAAAAACTAAGAGGTTACTATAGAAAGAAAAAGAGAACAAGAGGAAGCTTTATGAAAGGAAAACTATAATAGCAAAAGTTTAAAACTCAATTAGAAGGGTTAAAAAATAGGTTGAGAAAAACTGTTAGAATCCAGAGAAATAAAGACAAGAGGTAATAAATAGAGAAAGATTAAGAAAAATTAAATATCAACCAAGGAGTTCACTATGCAACTGAGAAGAGTTACAGACTAAGAAAACAAAGAAAATTGAGCAGAGGAAATAATTTTTTAAGTTACACACACACAAATATCCTAAATCCTGTCCTACTCTAAAGAACGTATGTCACAAGATTTACAAATCAAATTGAGTAATTATCACACTAGAAGACAAAATTCTTACAATATGAGACATAAGAAATTCTAGAGGTAATATACTGGAGATAATATACAATGACCTAATTTAATCTTAAGTTTTCTCAGCCTCAATACTATTGGCATTTGGGGCCAGGTCATTCTTTGTGGTTGGGTGGAGGGTGCTGTCTTGTGTGTTGTAAGAACATCTAGCAGCATCCCTGGCACACCACTAGATGCCAGTAGCACCATCTCCTCCAACTGTGACAATCAAAAATGTTTCCAGACATTACCAAATGTTGCCTGCTGGCAGTATTGCCCTCCATTGAGAACCTGGGATCTACAAAGAAAATAAGTCTCTGAAGAGAATGGGTAATCAGAATGTTGAACATCTCAACATTGGAGATTAGAAGACAAGAAGGAATGCCTTCAGAATACTAGAAGCAAATAATTCCTCATCCGTACTTCCACATCCAACAAAATCAAATCAACAGTTGATTTTGTGGCATCCAAAATTTTCAGATGTTCAGGGGAGGGGGTAGGTATAGCTCAGTGGTAGAGCACATGCTTTGCATGCATGAGGTCCTGGGTTCAGTCCCTAGTACCTTCATAAGAAAACACACACACACACAATTTTCATATGTTCAAGTTCTCAATAAATTTATCACCAAACACTTAAGGAACTTAGGGGAGTAAACCAATAAAGAGGAAGACATAAAATGCAGAAAATGAAATCAAACACGGAGAAAGAGAAAAGAAATTCCCAGCATAAAGAGTATATAGCAAGTCCCAAACTGCCAGCTGTGGAGTAGATCTAAAGAGCAAATACTGTACAACTGAGCAGGAGTCTGGGTGGCTCCAGGATGGCTCCCAGAAAAAATAGTGGAACTGAGAGGGTTTTTCTAAATGGGTTTAATAATACAATGAGGAGCTTTAGACTTTAGATAATATGGGGATAACTTAAAAATACGTACATAGAACAGTAAGTAAAGTGGAAAATTGAGGCAATTATTAAGAGTAAAGGAAAGAAACAACTTGAAGTTGAGGTCTAAGTGATATTCACAATGCTCATAATTATTTCAATACTGAACAGAATTATGATACTGGTATGAGAGAGAATGGGGTAGAAGAAATGTGCAAGTTTGTGTGTGTGTGTGTGTGTGACCCTTAGAAGTAAATGGATAATATCTAAAACTTAAATTTGAGAAAATGTATTTTATAAGCATATTGTTTAGAATTATGGAAGCAAATACCATAGAAAAAAATTAAAAGGTTCAAAAGTTACTTCTGAATAATCAGACTTGAATAAGCTTGAAAAAACTGTAGCATTGTATGACAAGTATTTAAAACATAAAATGTCTCAACAATTATGAAGACTATCCTTTTAAAATACATTGTAAGTGTTATAAACAATGATATGGTAACTATAACAAAAGTATAAAGTAAAGTGAGGAAAGGAGGGAAGAAGTGTAAGAATATTTATTCCCTCATTTTTAAGCAGGTAGTTAACTGATGCTAATATCTCAGTATTCATCATACTCTTGTTTATTAACCTTACAGGGATTATTTAAGTATCAGCAAATTCTATAGTTTCATATTATTTTGTTTTTATTATATTCAAGTAAAATCTGGTATTTTTAATCATAAAGATAGCCATTTAGTATAGATCCATTTTATAAAATTATTTCCATCTACCTATTATAAGCATCATAGAAATATTTTAGAATGATGTTGACTTACTGATAGTTATCTCTTAGTGGGAGAATCATATTGATTTGCTTTCATTTTTGTTCTTACTGAATATGTTTGAATCCTGCATTATTTTTTAAATTTTTAATTAAATTAATTAATATACATTATTTTTAAAAAATGAGAATCATTATTTGCATACCAGAAACCATTTATTGTGAAAAGGAAATCATAACTTTACCAACATTTTTTGTTTAACTGGGATTAAATGCTTTAAAATTATAGTAGATGGTCTACTTAAGTGATAACAATTTTGAAAGAAAATACTAAGAAAACATCCAGATAAAATATTAGTTCATTTGAGGAAAGACAGCGGTGTTTTTGAAACAAAACTACAGAAGTCCAACAATTTAAAGGGGCACAGAATTTTTTGCATAAGTGAAAATTATTTTTAAAACTAAAAGCCATCATTTACAATAGTTAAGACATGGTGATGATAATCGTAAAACAGTTCTAATAATAACAAGATATCAACGAACAAGCTTCAAATATCAGGAACCTCACAGCATTTATGACTTCCAAAAATCTGACCTCACAAAACCTGAGAAACGCCATTTGCTAAATGTCTCATCTTACATGCAAAATGTGAAGGGCTTTTTTTTTTTCAAAAAGAAGCAACAATAAAGCACCTAGAGATTTGTAAAGTACTTCAAATACTTTAGGTTAAAATAACTATAAATATGAAAATACTTACAGATGTATGAGTATGTAAGCTGTTTATGTGACTAAAAGGGTTGGAAATGAATACATTAGTGAATATTACCATTTATCACTTGTTTCAGGTGAGATTCCTAATTGAACTCAAAATGATTTCCAAAGTTAGAGTTTTCCTCGGAGTCTGTACCAGTCCCTTCACTCAGGAAGCTGGGGACAACAGGTTTGAGAAACTTTATTCGCTCGTCCCAGTACCTCCGCTCAGACA